AGATGTTATAGTGGGTTTTGAAAAATAAATTTTTATTATTATTATTTTTATTATTTCTTGAGATGTAAATTTTGATTGGATAGACTCTGATGTTGAGTTTAAATCCTATACTTCAGTGTATAGAGATTTTTGTCAACACCTCAGGTGGATTCAGGCACAAACACAACAATTACTCAACTTATCAATACAGTTTATTCTTATGATTTTCACTAAAAGGGTTTTACAAAAACCGCGTTACGTGTTTCGCTAAACAATAACTTCTTCAAGCGTAAAACCTGATAATTTTTGTTCAGTTTTATGTTTGTTATTCAGGATACTATCTTGGGATACTTATACTTTGATAAAAAAAGTCTTTTAGATTCGAACAGAATATTTTCACGATCTTATTTGCCCATCTTTTATCAACTGGTTTACAACACACCTGCCGTAACGGAAAATTGATATCGAAATGATAAAAGAGAGACTGAGAGAAATTACTACAGGCTTTATCAATATCATCTGAATAAAAAAATTTAAAGATGGAAACATGAGAAAGCATTTGATGAGTTATTGTACGCATCACAATTAAAACCTCCAACTACTATACGAAAAATATATCAGGTTTGAATATCAGATCTAATATTTTTACCAGACCCACACAGAATATGTCTAAATCCCATTGGGAAACGATGAAAATTCAGTAAAATGTATTTTTTGTGATTGTCATTCCAAGTATCACCACACACATGTATTAAAAAAATTCTGTTTGAAATCTGTTTTTCCGTTAACCAGCTGTCGCACCCCTACAAATGAAAACCCTCAGAAGTCGAAACTTGTGCGAGCTAAGGATTAACGAAGTCTTACCTTTAAACGTGTGATACTAACACGGGTTGGACGATAGCAAGTGAAAATCGATCGTTCAGACTGAGGTTTGAACCACCGACCAACACGGCAATCAATTCGAGTGAGTGAACAAAGCACCCACGTCGAACCGCCTGGCTGCCGACCGCTACACAAAACTGAGAAAATTCCATATCTTTTACAGACATTGAATTTTTAACCCAAATTCCTACACCACCTTTTTGATGGTCTGATCTATAGAAATAACTTGCTGAAATGAAACCTTGTATGTATATACAGTCAACCGAATCAGATTTTTCGTTTAACTCCGTCAAACATGAACAGTTTAATTTTTTGAAACCAAAAATATCACACTGTGGTTCATTAATTTCATAAGTGTTGATACTGGTAATATTGAGAGCCAAGATATTTGGCGAAAAAAATTTGTCATTTATATCTTGGTTGCATCCTTTTTCGGAAACTTGAAAAAACGCTGAACACACGCTACAAAAGGCAATTTGCGTTCAAATATTGTCACTTTAAATAAATTTTATGCACTGGGATATTTAGGGGTGATACTTGCATAATTCACTTCGGAGAAACTGATTCCTCAAGATCGGAAGTGAAGTGTTAGGATCAATTCTGTATTCATGTTAGTGAATTTGCTTGGGAACTCCTTTTACATGACTATTTTTTTGATTATTCCCGACTATCATACAACGTCTTCGCTTTCTGCCAAATACATCCTTTCCATTGCTCCTTGGTATTGGAATTGCTACATTATCTCGATAATGCTGGGTTTGTATTCTTATAAGCATTAATATTGACAAGATTCCCCATGGTCATAGTTTTTCCAACATGAGCGATTCCATCTGATACCTGCCGGTGACTAATTACAATTTGATTTGTTTTACCCGAGTTAATATTCGTTTTGCCACTGGGATTAAAATCCAATGTTTTGTCGTTGTTTTTGCATATTCTATAGGCTTCATACTTTCGATTGATATGGAATTGGTATATTAACCAAATCAGTGAAATGTTAAAAAAAAAATTTTTAATTGTTAGTTAATCATATTCTGGATTGAAATTTTGTAATCAACCCATTTACAATATATTCATTGACATATTACTGCCTTTACCATACTTTAAACATCTGTTGTTCGCTCCAAGTTAGAGCATACTACTTTGGTATCCTCTCTATAATGTACATAAGGTAACCTTGGAAATTGACGTGTACCCTGCTATAGAAACTGACCACTCCACACTACTTCAAAGATTCAGTCTGCCTTCTTTGGAGCAACGTAGAGTTTCATCAAATATTGTTATATTATACAAAATTTTGCATTCTTCCATTGATGCACCCTCGTTACTAGAACAAATTAACTTCAACATACCTCAAGCTTCTACACGTAGAAAGATCACTTTCTATACCCCTTTTACTAGATCCGACCTTGGAAAAGTATCTCGTATAAATTTGATATGTGATAATTATAATACTCACTGCAGTCAATGCGATATTAATTTCAATCTGAAGACCATATTATCCAAAATTGAATAAATCATCATTTAGCTTACTGTCTTCATTTCATGTTATTTACAAATAATACTCAATTAATATGTCATCTTTTTTTCTTAATTCAATCATATATGTGAATTTATTTCTTAATTTGTCAAATCCCTAATATGTCAATCTTTTGTTATATATTTAGTTTGAGTAGACTTTATTTATACTGCATTATTATATTATACAGTGTGGGCCATCGAAAATTTGACATGTATGTTTTGGGTACTAATCTTGCAAATCCTGAAAAACGCTCAGACAAGTCAATTTTTATTGGAAAGGGGGCAGATTTTTTCCCTATTTACAACGTCGTCCGTTCAACCCCGGAGCATAGGGGTGAACAACCCTTGGAATTTCAATAGGGAACTGGGGGCGAGTCGCACATCGTTTCAAAGATCTTAGAATTCTCTAAACAACGGTGTACATTTTTGTCAATTTGGATGAACCATATTAAATTTAGAGTTGAAGTTGAAGTTGAGGTTACACCTCCAGCTTCCATGCAGTAATTGAGATTCTGCTGGAAACGTTCTCGAACATTGTGTAGCATTTCTGGAGTGATTTGGCGAGATTCATTTGTGATTCGTTGCCGTAAATTATCGAGTGATGCAGGAGAAGTACAGTAAATTCTTCTTTTCAAATGACCCCACAGAAATCTTACGACGAAAGGTCTGGGGATCATGGCGGCCATTCGATAGTGCCTCGCCTCTCAATCCGGTGGTCCGGAAAAGTCTGATCTAAATACTACCGAACATGCAGAGCATAGTGCGGAGGAGCCCCCATCTTGGTGAAATATTGATAGATCCTCCCGATAATTGTGGTCATTTTCAATAATATCAGTGAGAAGGGGATCAATAGTATTTTCCAGAAGCTCCAGATACATTTGTCTGGGTAAATTCTCTTCTAAAAACAATGGGCCAACAATAAGGTCACCAAAAATTCCAGCCCATACATTTAATTTTTGTGGACGTTGAGTATGCACTTCATGAAAAATGTAAGGATTTGAATCAGCCCAATAGCGATAATTATGTCGATTAACTGTGCCATTTAGAAAAAAAGAACATTCATCACTGAAGCAAATGTTGAAACAAAAT